CAAGGAAAGACCATTGCCAGAGGTAATAAAGCCTCGAAACTTGGCTCTCAATATTAGCTTGGAGGTAGCAAACTCGAAGTTGCACGACAATGGCCACTGAATTAGGTTAAGCAATATGATAAGCACATATAGTTTTTCAAATAATTTCCCTTATTTCATCATTAGATCAAGTGATTTGATGTATTCTCAATCATTGGTGCAATATATTTTCTAGGAAAACATCATATTACTTTAATTTCATATAAATGTTGCAGTAAATCATATACAGTCTACTCATTGTCTTGTATCTATCAACACATTTTTTCTTATTCTTATAAAATGTAAGATCATGAATCTTGACTGATGGGAAAGGGACTTGTATACTGCCTCCTCTGTATTTTTCTAGGTCTTCTCATAAACCACAAACTATTATACTGAATGCTGAAAATTCCTGTTCATTCATTCATTCATTCCTCTCTCTTATTGTATTTGCCATAACAATTTGTCCCGTAGCTTAGCAGGATCAATATGGGACACAGTCTATAAACTATACGTACTGTACCATGGGAATTATAAACCGTTAAATATCTATCTGCTGCAAAAGAGGTTTTTACATGCATTGGGAGGCTAAAATGTTATTAAAACTGTATGAAGGAAACAATCAACCAATCTCAATATCAAATACCTTCTTCAAGTACATTAGTCAAAACATAATTTAGGATACATGGAAATTTATAGATAGTCCTGCACATTTTCCTTCAACACTTGTGAATGTCAACTTACAAACAAGTTTTTTCAACCCTTTCCCCTTGTATTACCACACACTACAGAACAAGGATCCTTTAAGTATTTTTGTTTATACGAGGTCTGAATGAAAGGTATCCGACCTTTAGCAGGTGAAAAAAACAAGCTTGCTTATTTACTGAGTTCAGACTTTATTCCCCCTTCAAAGTAGGCCCCTTGGGACTCAACACACCTAGTCCAGCGGTCCTACCATTTAAAACTTATTATGCCAGCTTTGTTTTCTTGCTTGACAGTGTGCAGTACAGCTATATCAAGGGTAGATGGGAGTTTTTGGAGGATGGCGGGTACTTAAGCCCGTGAATTTGTTATACATTATTATGGGATTGACTAATTCGATAACCGTTGATTCCCTAACCAATAATAACTTTTCCCCTGGTTACTTTAAACTTGCATGGGCTCGTAACATTTGTCTTGCCTGCAGTGCCCACTGTTTCTGTGTGGATGTCGGTCACACTAGAATAACCCGTTTTAGTACATAATTCTTCTTTGTTTCCATACTCTTACAATCTGTCTCACTTCAAAAAGCTGGTTTTCCGGCATCTTCGTGGTGTAGATTAATACCCCTGTAGTCTTTTTCACTTCTATTGTTAATTTCTTTTTACTCTTATTTTTTTTTGCCTCCCAGGTCCTGTTGTGGGTTGATGACCTGTGCCCAGGTGGGCTATTCCCCGTAAAAAAAAAAAGGTAATTAATCTCACTAATGATCTTTTGAAGTTAATTCCCCAATGTTCAACCACTAATTAATTACTTATTCTTAGTTTTGGATACTCTTTATGAGCCTGCTTGCAAAAAATACAGAAATCCTCTCGGTAAACTCCCAGCCTTGAGTTTATTATTGCTGGCATTAGTGTTTACCTTTTGTATTCAAATCTGATTTCAATACAGTAGTTTCTCATCCAATTCATTTTTTATGTAACCTTAAGCACAGAGGCAAGCTATACCTGTATGTCATCTCCAGATAACACTTGTTCTACTCTCTCTCTCATTATAATGAAGCAAGTAAAACCCAGTACCCTTCCGTCACACTAAATTACAGGGTCGTACAAAGTACAGTAAACACAGTTTTACATGGTAAATGGAAATTTACAATCCAAACCTTCTCCTCAGACTGAAGATTTACACTCACAAAAAGCATATGCACAGTACTGGTTCAGTATATAATGAAGTACTATACTTAAGTTACAATAAAACAAAATTATCTTGAGTACTCACCAATAAAAAAGTAAAGCACAACAAAGCTGTTGGGGAGGGAGAGGGTAGAGCACTAGTTGGGGAGTCTGGTTATGTGATTTCACCAATTTCTCACCATCATGCATTTGTTGTTAGGAGCAGCTTGCTGAGGTGTAATGGCAGGACATTTGATGGTGCCATTACATAAATGTATCAAGGAGAATGTACACTGCGTAAAACACCCAGTGAGTAAACAAGAGGTAGCAGTATTAGTTGGCTCCTTACAACACACTCTCGGTCATTGAAGTATAGTACAGTACTGTAAATCTAATTTGAATTCCAACATAAAAACAATGTTTAATTTTCTTTTTACAGACAACCCTCAGAGGAATAATAACGACAGGATGTTTGAGTGAAGGCATTACAAGAATAGAATGAGTAGACTGTTCAAATAAAGAAGAAAAAAATCACTTTTTGGTGTTAAAAAATTACAGAGCAGATCTGAATCTGTGCACCATGAGAAAGGTGTATTTTCAAAATTATTATTATTATTTTTATTTTTATGTGGACAGAGAAATCCTGACAAAAGTCCTTGGGGTATCACTCATCTGACTACTAGCAGTGCTCAGAAAATGAGACTTTTCCCAAAAAGATGGAGAAACACCACAAGAAGAGAAGTCAAGAGAAAGTGAGTGAATGTGGGAATGATGAGACCATGAAAGTGAGTTAAATGAAGGTAAGGGCAATTGAACATTAATAAGAATTTGAAATTGACAGCACATAAAACAAAAAGTGAGTATTCATAATTATGAACACATGCACACTGAAAGTGAGCAAATAAAGGAGGGAGGAACAAGAATATAACATCTACTTACAGTATTCCATAAAAAGCAAATTATTGAATATTAGAGCCTGTAATATACACCGGTAAATTGATGTAAACAAGCTGCCTGAATCCCAACCGTGGTGCTTCCAGGCACCCAGATGTGAATTTGTTTAGATTAAATTAATGAATTGTTAGATATGAGAGCTAAGCTGGGCTCCACTAGTTGTTCAGAATAAGTTACAAGTCAAATGAGTTCCTGTCCTAACACACCCCAATTTAACCTAACCATCTGGAAACAGCTAATCGGAATTCTGCCCCATTTGACCTGTAACCATACACAGCACTGATGGAACATGAAAGACCTCAATGTGTGATGTTGTCTGGTTAACTTTAATTCTATTTCCACAGTGGAGAAGAACTTACCAAAGGGAACTTGTGTCATAACAAAAACAACAGGACCCTTTCCACAAAATTTTAATAAATGTCACTTCAAATAATCTTTACATTCAGTATCATCCAGTCTACCTCACCACAGCCAAGTCATAAAGTTTTGGTACGAACTCGGCATAATCCTCATACATTCAACACTATGGAATCAGATTTAAAACACAACTCTCTTTTCTTATGTAAGTCCTAAAGGTAGAGTCTGGCCACGATGTTCTTTGTAAATGTACAATGAGTTAAAAACTTAACAAATTAATCATTCATTTACAAATTATCAAACTTTACTTGGACCTACTACCCACCCATCAGCACCACAGCACTGTGCATACCAGTGATGTATAAAATAATGGCTTCTTCAAAAATCACAGCACTGACATGTACAGTCACCTAATTTCACTTTTTTGGTTAGTAAAAAAAAAAAAAAGAAAGAAAAAATAATCAAATAATAATATAAAAAGTCACTCACTGCAGGGCAGGAGTAAGATGTGGTGCAATAAGCAATTTCAGGCTTTGTGAGACCCAAATTTCTAAATCTCCTAGATATTAAAACGGCCTACGGGGAGACTAAACCACAAAGCTCAAAATAACAAGTCACTCCATACAGGTCATGAGGGAGAAGCGCAATGGTACCATTAACCTCAAATGGCTTGCGGAAGACCAGAGTGTGTGTGAACAGGGACAGAGGAGATACCTTGCTTTTTTTATGATTAAACTCTTGCAAGAACAACCAAGTTACCCCTATTACATAACATGGGCAAAGGAAGCAAGTCTTTGTGAAAGAATCAACCCAAACCACAGATAGGCACCTTTCCAACATCCCAGAGCTACAGCACCTACTTTTAGACAGGCATTTATGTTAATCTCTCTACTCTCAAACATTAGATTCCCTTTCAGCTATTAGGCTCCCAACTTTCAGAAATTGGACTCCCACCTTTCAGACATTTGGCTTCCATCTTTCAGACACTGAGCTGCTTACTTTCTGATATTTAGCTCCCTATATTCAAATACTGTATTGAGATCCCTACTTTCACACACACTGGGCTCCTTACTTTCAGACATGACACTCCCATCACTCTTGACTGTAGGCTCTCAACTTTCAGACACCAGGCTTTAAATTTTCAGACACTGGCTCTCAACCTTCACACACCAATCTCCCAACTTTCAGGCCCTGGGCACCAAACTTTCAGACAATAGACTCCAAACCTTCAGATATTAGACTCCCACACTTGTGCCATGATGCTTTCACTGTGGTTCTCCTGAATGGACAATATCACCCATGGAATAACAGATGACTGTAGAGATCTATGGCTCCTGATCAACAACACATGACAGGTGAACTTGATTTTACAGTTCTACTTGTAAGTTTAACCTCGCTTAGTTGAGTGACAATGTTAAGTATCCTCTTCTGTGCACCTGTCAAATGCAACAAAATGTTGGTTCCCAAATACACATTTTATATATATATATATATATATATATATATATATATATATATATATATATATATATATATATATATATATATATATATATATATATATATATATATATATATATATATATATATATATATATATATATATATATATATATATATATATATATATATATATATATATATATATATATATATATATATATATATATATATATATATCTCCAAGATTTATAAACTTATTCCATAAATAAAAAAATTCAAGTTTTCATTCCTACTATTTCTTATCCAATACAGTAAGTAAAAAATGAAGCAAAAGAAAAGGAAAACAGATGCCTAGAATAGGAGGAAATATTTTATTTTATGTTAAAAGGCTCGACTCATCTCACAGTATAGGGGGATTGTCTTTACAAATGATACATTTGTCTTGCAACACCTGTATGAAACTTCATTATTGAAAGTATGAATATGTATCTTGCATAAATTTTGTATATGCAAGTACGCATGTATGCATGTATAAAACAGGGATTACTATAAGGGTCTTCAAGCACGTGGGCCCGCCCCGCCATGCTTGAATTTCAGGAGCCATGGTAAAATTCCTACCTACCTTTCAAAATTACACTAATCAAGTTTCCTTATCATTGTATTTTTAAATTTAATTGGTGACCTACAATAATAACTGTACTTGTACTGTAATGACAAAGATAATTACCAAGCATCATCTGTCATGACTGACAATCTTGTTTACATAATACAGGCATTATAGTACATTGTCATGATACCATGCAAGATGTCACTCTCCTTGAATTTTTCTGTGATGATCCCTGTGATATATAAGTACACACAAACACACGCATACACAAACATTTTAACAATCAAGATAGAGGAAGCTTTGATTCTCAAGTCCTGCAGAATGAGTGTTGGGCGTACTAAGTACTCGTTACAAAATACACCGCACAGATCACCAGATTGAGCCACGCCCTTCTAGTAATACGAAGAACACGGAGTGTCCACGGGCCAGCAAACCAAAATACTGACAAGTAGGAATAATTGATTTATTATAAAAAAGAATCAAGACACCCTTACGACAAACTTCACAACAGCCTGGTTACACTGGTTCCTGGATAGCTGATATTATGATCCCTAAGACGCTGTGGCCGGAGGGGACCGACCACTGCCGGCATCTGAAGCGTACTAGGACTTGCACAACCTAATATGGTATATTAAGTGCAGGAGCTGGTTATGGTGATTCAATATGCAAGTTTCACTGGGTTCTTGGGTATATTCTGCATGTGAGAAAAAGCCTGCTGCAAGGAGGTACATAGAATAGGTACTCATTGGCCCATCATTTGACTTCATGCCTTTGGCAGCCAGTTTATCAAAATAAAAGTACAATAGTGTGTATCAGTTCTTTCTGCATCAGTACTTATTTAGGAAATAAAATAGATTTTCTGAGAGCCCAAATCTATCTTACAATAATTCATTATTTCATATTCCTGAAAAAAGCTGGTAGGGAGTAAATATTTCCACAAAGGATGCACCTCACACCCATCAATATTTCATGCTTCAGATTTAAAACCATGAGGCCCATTCCAATTCTGCAGTCAAATTGGTTGCTAAGAAAATCAGAGCTACTCCCACTCACCACCTATTGTCTTAGACATCTTCAACAAGAGCTGTCCAGAATCAATATGACCCATTCTTCTAACCGAGTATATTTGGTATCCATGGCAGCTCATGACATCTTCAACCATCAGAATCAAAATATATGGCTAGTACAGTACTGGATAAGTAGACAAGTACTTCATGCTTACTTTAAAAATATTGATAGGCAATATATATATTTATTTTCTTAAAAAGTCCACAGATCTATGAAAATTATATACTCACCCCAACATGTCTGTCCGCAAGATAATATATATACCTGTATTTATATATAAAAAAATCTCTCTTCTCTTGCTAGAGGATTTGTTCAACAATTTTTACTCCGTATCACATTGTACCTGTAACACTCTTTAGTAATAATATCAACAAAAATTAGTTATACTGAAATTAATAAAAACAGGATCTACAACTCCTCCTTGGAGAGAATTTATCTTCCAGCCTAGTTGGCCCTTTCATTTAAGAGCAAGATGATATTCTCTATAAAAAAAGAAAAAAAGTTCAAGAGTTCTGTATCCTTTGTGTCTTGCCTTAGTGCTCACCTACACTTCCCTAACTAGTCTACACATCCTCCGCCTCAGCTATTATCGCTCAAGGCATCGAAGCGGTTGGCCGTACTAAGTTTAGGTGCTGCATAGTCTTCCTGCATGGAGCGGGTTGATCCGTGCCTCACGCTCTCAAATCCTTCATTGCTGTGAAGTAAGAGAACATAAACTCATTAATATATTTTTCTGGCTAGATACTGTATAGTTGATGGCCAAAAAATCTTTGTTACAGTTTAATCTTTTGACAAACACCAGAGATAATTTGTCTATCTTGTTGTGGTAATGACCGAGGTGGAAGTAACAAGTGCTGTAAGAGTATACCCGGGAAAAAAGAGCAGTGCACTTTGGTACTGGATCTTCAACTACGTGACAACTAATCCAACACTGATGACAAAACAGAGGTCTCATACACATTCAATGAAAATCATGAAATGCATAGTATGAAAAAAAAAAAAAAAAAACTAGTGTAATTCTGGAATGAAAAGTGAAGGTTGATCCCATAGGCATGACTGCCCGTTAGGGACAGTGTGGGTACAACACACTGTATACTAAAGCCTTCCGTGCCCAAGGAAGCAGCATGGCCGGTATTGCACTCAATTGCATTCACTTTGCCAAGTTGTAAACTTAGTTACCCATTTACAGCTGGGTGAACTGGGAGTGCTTGGGGATCGAACCATCAACCCATGGGACAAGAGGCAAGCACTGTATCCATTCACCTGCCACACTCCTAACTCTGGAGTAACTATTTAGAATATGATTGTCATTGCTACACTCAGTGATTGAAATTCAATTGTGTACAGTTCTCTGTTGTTTTGGGGAATGATGTTAAGTTTTACTAGTGTATCTTCTGTGCAAGATGTTACATTTATTCTTACAGTTTGAGTATTAAATATGTGTATCCATCAACCAATGGGCCGTAGTCACAGTATGGTGAACCCGACCACCAGGCACCACATGCTTGTGTAGGGTGAGGTCATTCAAGAACGTGCTTCGGGCACTCTGGTGGGTCGGATCCCGATGAACTGGACACGGCTACCAACATTTCCAAATTGGCTGGATGGCCAACTGTTACCACTACTCAAGCATCACGTACCCCAATAATATTTTCCTAAGGGGACACCAAAAAATCACATCGTATGACCAAATGAACATGAAAGTGTTAAGAGGACATCTATGGGAAACAAAAATTATTATTGTCTGGTGCTTGTGAGGTTTTTTGAAGGTTATATTTCACCATGTGTTGGCCACAGTGGGATGGCAGAATAGGATAAATTAACTTACAGCAGAGGTGAGTGCGTGGTGTGCATTTAAACTGAAATAGGCCTAACCAGATTCTTCCACACTTACGATCACCTCCCACATAGTATACACACCCCTGCTCTTCATACTACTTATTTTATATACAGTGATCCCTCGGTAACGAACGCCTCGGTTAACGAAATTTCGGTTAAACAAATTACCTTCCATAGGAATATTCAATTAACGAACAAAAATTCGGTTAACAAAATTCTTACGAAAACATGTCAACATGTTTTCGCTTGCTCACCAGCTGGACTATTAGTCCGCCAATACAGTAATCAGTTCTAGGGCTCAAATTCACTCCCATTTGAGTAAATATCAAGAAGGTTGTACTATTAAATATTTTTCAAAGTTTTATATTAAAATTATGAGTAATTTTAACACTTATTTAACATAATTGCAGTACAGGAAACTAGTTTTTGGTGCGTCAATCAGCCACTTCACTCACCCACCAAGGCGTCAGTTTGTATCTCTGGTAAGTGAAGGTAACATCTTGCTTGTGCCTCTCTTGAACATAAAACTATTTTTACGTTTTTACAGTACAATTATTGGTCATTCTGAAATTTATTTTACATATTGACAATATATAGTGCAGTGCAGTGTTGATTTAAGGAAAATAATCTTGAATTACACCTAGTGACCTTAAAATTTTATGGGTGAAATGACGGCATCAAGCACGGGGTGATTTCTCTTCCACCCCCATTTCTAATTCCCATCATCATCAACCAGGAGCCTTCTACATACACACCTCAAAGTAAGAGGACTTTAATGCATTTTTTTTACTTTGTATGTAATTTTTGGTGAGCTGGAACCAATTACCCAAAATCCCATTGAAACAATGGTTTCGGTTAACGAACGACCCTCTGTAACAAATTGAGTTCGTTAACCGAGGGACCACTGTAGTAGTTCTATATTATATTTTCTTTGTTTCTAAGTCTCGTTAGAGTATTGAAATGATTTTTCCACAACTTTTATAGTTTCATTGTATGTAACAATGGCAACATGTATTACCATCTCTTGCAAGCCACAGTTGACTGGCATGTCAGCCAGCAGACTTCTGGTGCACATCTCAGAAAAATGGACTTCTTTAACAATTATTTTATTATATAAAAATGATGTGGCTTAGGAATAAACAAGCTGTAATATCATACTATTAAATATGAAAAATGAAGAGCACAGGTTATATGTGAACGGATGTGTGTAGGTGGTGAGCTATAAATACGTCTGCAACTCACCAGCCTAGCTGCTCCATTTATTGTTGCCTTTAATGAAACTATAAAAGTTGTCAAAAAATCATTACAGTACAATATGTACTCTAATGTGACTTAGAAGTGAAGAAAAAACAAAACGAAGAAAAAATATAAAACAAGGAAACGAAGACGAGCATGGGTGTGTAGGGAGGTGGTTCTAGACAAAGCCTTGGCTATAAACTACATGGCCAACTAGCCAGCTCAGCCACCTCGTATATTATGAAAGTATAAAAGTTGGTAATAATCATTACATTACTATAATGTGGCTTAGAAATATAGAAAATATAATATAAAACTATAAAATATGAAAAATAAAAAGCATTAGTGGGAAGTGAATGTGTTATGAGGCGGTGGATTACTGGGCTTTAAATGAGTGATGTGACGTCATGGCATACACACCCACCACACGCCTGAGTCGGCCGAGCTGGGTAATTGCGTGAACCGTGTCGCGAGCTGGATGCGTGGGAGGTACAGTACGTGCGTGGAAGAACTTATTCATTGTACATAAAATAACATATACTGTACTAGTAAATGTGAGGAATAAATACAAAATAATAATAGAACAAACTCTACATTGCCATTTAGCAGATGACGGTGAGAGCATAGCAGTGGGTGAGGAAACACCAGTTGTAGCTCTCACCCCCAGTGCTTGCTTCTACACACATGCCGGTAGTGATTAATCTCTTTTATGTTATTTACCTTATGACAATTTTTATATTTTGGGGGCACATACTGTCCTGTGTGTAGTGTGCATTTAAACTGAAATAGGCCTAACCAACCGACTGAGTTGCCAGATGCGCTATTGACAGGTATATATAACCACGAACGGTAAGTCCTCGTTCAACGTTGCCTCCGACAACGATGTTTCGTTATAACGTCGCTACTCTTTAGATACCTAGGAATCGGACAACGTCCCGCCGATTCGGCATAACGTCGTCACGGGCTACTTTGTACGGAGCATCACCTTCTCTCACCCAGTCAGAGAGGGAGGAGAAGCCCCCTCCGGGTCTCAGTGACTCACCACCCTCCTCCTCTCCACTACCCACCACACACTTGCTCCACCTCTGCCCATCAGCCACCCTCCTCCCCTCCACTACCCACCACACACTCGCTCCACCTCTGCCCATCAGTGAGTACAATACAAAATGATTTAGTTAAGTTATCTTTCTGGAAGTCTAATATATACTATTTTCTAAAAAAATTACATTGTATTTGTGTACTGTTTATGTAATGTATTTTATGGGGCAAAGGGAGGCTGGGGAATGTAACTCCCGTATTTTATCTATTTCTTATAGGGAAAATTGATTCCGTTAACGTTGTTTCCGTCATCAACGCGGTTTTCAGGAACGGAACCACGACGTTAAGCGATGACTCACTGTACTTTATGAGTGATTTAAGGGATTTTCAAGGATAATTTTGACAACTAGTTAAACTTTGAATGCTGGTGGAATAGCACTTTGCACAAAATACGTGAAAATAACTAGTGACTGCAGGTGGGTATCCTCTCACTAGGCCTACTGACGCGTAACTCTGAGGCTGACCGGGAAGAGCCTCCTGCATGTGTTATGCCATTCCAAGAGTGCATCATATCTCGGAATACTGAGCTATGCAAAAAAAAATATTAATGTAAATTTTTTTTTAATAATTTAGTTGAATATTTTACTTTCATCTGAGTTATATAGAATTACGAGTTATGAAGGGTTTACTGTACACCTTTATCAGCCTATCCAACAATTTTCTCTATTTCAATTTTTTTTCATGCTATTCAAACACCTTACAGTATACGGTAAAGTACAGTACTCACTTTGACTTTCTCTTGCCCCAGGCACCCATTGGGTTAGCAGCCTGAGCATCAGAGAGCGAAGGGAAGGCCATCTCATTATTAATGTCAGGAGCTGTTCGATTCCGCCTTGGTGCTGTGGAGGAAATTAAGTAAATTAAACTTGTACCTTGAGGTAACTTGCTAGGTGAACAAAATCACTAACTAACTTCAGTAAAGGTGTTCCCATGGTCACTATGTAATGGAAAATTGAGGACAAAAACAAACACAATCCTAATCCCTTAGTAAGTTATTATTTTGTTTAATACCAAATAGTAGATACAGTATAAGCTGTATTTGTACACCTCAATATCAAGACATTTGGATAAATCTTTGTACTGTTTGATAATAATGACACTGGTGATTGTCAGATACACATGTGTACAATCTTCCACCTCAATCTTCCTCATACTCCTCTTTGCTCCTCCTCACACTCCTTACTCTTCTTTTCACTCTTCCCATTTCTTACTCTTCTTCCACTTTATAATATATACAATTAATTTAACAAACTAAGAACCAAATGAAATGGTTGCAATCAAATGGATCACACCATTAACACTGGACACAATTCCTTATGGTTAGGTTGAGACAGGGCCAGTAAACCAGGGGCCCCATTAACCAGTTACCACCTGGAACAACTTTTAATTACACACATTATTACATTAATTAGGTAAATACAGCTTTAAAATGGCACAACTAACTGATGGTTAGTCTTAATTTATGCTTTTAGTTATGGGGGTCTCTGATCTGGGAGTGAGTGGACAGTGTTTGGGGGGGGGGGGCTATGGTAGATTTGTGCCAACTAAGGCTCCTACTCTGGCCTGTATCCCTAATTTAGTATTAGATTTCTATCAAAATGCATCCCCAGCTGAGGCTCTTGACCTTTCTATAATGCCTAAAAAGTGATACAAGACTGGGCCATGATGTCCCTTGGAAAGAGGAGAAAAAAAGAAAGATTACTAAATATTGTAAGTACATTTTCAAAACACTGGGTCCATAATTGAGGATATGCTTTTGGTAATGAGAGTCCCTAATTAAAGGGAACCAGAGCTGCACAGCCCCGATAAACTATGTTCAGTAGTACAAGGCCACAACTTACTAGATTTTGGGAGAGGAGAAGCGGACATATTACGCATGTGAGGGGGGACATATGATGAGTTGGGATTCTGCACGTGCCTGGTGACTTTCTCTTCTGGTTCAACTGGTGCAACATGCTTGAAGAGAGAGAAAAAAAAATTAGAGTAGTGTTTATAAAGCACATTTAAATGCACTCACTGGTTACAAAATGTAGGAATGCAAAAACTATGGAAAATTACAGAAAATACAGAAATTTATCAAACTGTTAAAAAATACTACAATATGTAACAACATAAATAAAAAGATGCATTATATATAAAGAAGCCTACAAATAAAGGTATAACATTAGTATGCAGGGTTGATAAAAAAAAAAAGTTTCATAAATGTGAGGGTATATTCTGGAGACACACTGTATGTTAGTATATACGTCTTCATGAACAAAGGTTGAATACCCCATAGTTTCAAGGTTATAACACATACTGTATATAATAGATCTGGGAGATGTGCAAATTAACAATGGACAGAAACATAAAATATCAAGGGACCATTTACTACTGCAGAAACATGTATGACTCAAAATACAGTATCAGTTAACTGTACTGTACCATTATTATTTTGTTAAGTGTTTCTTTTATGGGAAATAGCCCACCCAGGCACAGATCATCGACCCACAAAAGGGCCTGTGTGGATGAAAAAATAAGAATAAAATTAATAAAAATTAGAGAAATAGAGAAAGGAAATGAGTACTGTATGTTAATCTATACCACAAAGATGCGGGAAAAACAACTTTTTTAAACGAGACAGATTGCAAAAGGATGGAAACACAGAAGGCAAAGCATTCCACAGCTTGGCTGTGTGTGAGGGGGGAACTACTATAATGGGTTATTCTAGTGAACCCAACATCCACACAGAAACGGTGGGCGTCACAGGCAAAGATGAGTGTTACAAGCCCACTGCCTTGGCGGTGGTACAAAGAATGCCAAATCCACCGAACATTGTCTGTTAAAGCACCTGTAAAAGAGTGAGTGAAGTAACACTAGTGAAGAGAAAGAGAAGAGTTAAAGACAAAATGCCTTCGATTCCACCCTAACAAACAGTTGGACAGAAGAGGAGCCACCCCAGATACGAGAGCAGTACTCCAAGTTAGGACGAATGAATCTCTTATAATCCTGAAGCAACTACTCAAGAGTTAAGGAGCTACAGCAGCTATGTTGTGAATGTGTGGCTTCCATTACATGTTTATTTATTGTTTTAATTGTTCACTTTGTTAAATGGAATTATTCTTGTAATATACCACATGCAGAGTATATTCATTCTGAAGTTGTTTGGATTCTTAAACTAGGGGGATACCGAGATCCCATGGTGGACCCAATCCTGACCTTCACCATACTGGACGCAAGGTGATTTTGAGGGTAAAATTTTGAGAAAAAAGCGTGTCTTATATGCCGCAAAATACGGCATGTACACTGCACTCCAAAGTCACCACACCAGTCTACCTTTTTTGTTTAAAGGACCCAGGATATAAAGTTGACTCGCATTTCCCTCCATTTTCTTGTGGCTTGTGCTGATTTCTCGAGCATTACAGTGATTTTTTATTTATAACAGTGTTGTGAGTTTTGAACCATGCCTCGTGTTGCTGACGAGGGTGGAGGGGTGAGAAAATGTAAAAAATGCAAGGAGATTGAACCATGTGGTGATAGTGTGCTGCCTCCCGATGCCTCTCCGTAGCGAAATATTAAATTTTTCACAACATTTCTTCTTTAACTAATTTTCCTTAAATAGACTATGTACGTTTTATAATGGAATAAGGTTCATACTGCATTCACATGAAATAACGAAGGTATAAAATAATGTATGGGTATAAACATTTTCATTAAACCTAAACACAAATTTTATGTTTTACTTGCGCTTACATAAAGAAATATTTATTTTATCGTGATTACTCATATAAAAGTGTTTGTAGATAATTTATTTACAATGCTAATGCAGCAAACCCCACCTTTTTATATCAAATAGCAAGCTTGTTAAGACTCATTACATACAATTATCTCTTGTGTGGTGCAGTCAAGTGCAGTCAGGTAACAGGCCAGACCCCGAGCGTCTCACAGGAGAGCTCCCACTCAAACCCAAGAATGTTAACAATCAAATAAGGTACATTTTGAAATCTAAAGAGGTAAAATTATTGCACACAGCAGAGGCAGCCAAAGATTTGTATACAGTACCACAATTTAAGGGCAAGATCACTTAAATGACTGTACCGTATATTAATGTTCCCTTAAATAAATGTTTTGTGTATTAACCTAACAACAACCATTCTCCCTTACAGTATCACCCACCACTGGAACTTGCTGAGTCTGAGATGGCTCGGTCTTCCACACTCCGTCCCTTCGGTCTCCATGGTCCCCTTTCTCTCCATCATCATCTGCCGAGCCACCCCCTCCTTCTTCTTCATCTTCTATTTGCAACTTTGTAATCTTCAAGTCAGTCATGTCTTTGTCTGCTTCATCCTTAAAGTCATTCCATTCCTCCTCTTCCTGAAAAGAAAAATATCTTCCATGAAAATGCATCAATACAATATTCAACAATTTCTAACAAATATGAAACAATTATTGAACACAAACTTACTCTGCAAGTTGAAATTCAATAAAAAAAAGAAAGCTGTGTTGTAAAGCATACTGATCATGCCACCAATGATTGTGATGGAAGGCTAAAAGACAAGGGTAAATTATATACATACAGAATTCCATCTAACATCTTGAAGACTAATACAATGACCCAAGTACCGTATATAATGTACTGTATATAAGGAAGCATACAAATTTCTACTTTCGTTGCTGGACACCTGAATAATTCTGCAAACAAACTTAAATTTGAGAGAAATAGCAATGAGGGATGGACCTGTACAAATCCTCATGCTTCCTGCATACATAGTTGAGGAAAATAAAAGAGGTGAACATTTTAATACTGTACTGTATATTGTACAAGGTATCCACATTGAAATGAACCTACCCTGGTACAATGTCAATTCTGTACAACACTTGGCAAGGAACCACCGACCAGAGGCGACCTATACGCACGGATGCAGCAATTTGAGGAGACTGGCAGTACTCTAAAACAGCATGGTGGAGGAAAGCTGGCTAGGTAAATATGGACCCATTTCCTGGCCACCGATATCACCTGACTTTATCCCACTCTATTTTTTTCTTTGGGTTATGTGAAGTCCAAGGTGTACTCCACAGTGTGCAAGACATTGTTCAGCTGAAAGAGCCTGTAGCTCCCGTTGTAACTTGGTCTGTGCTACGAATGATACCTTAATGATATGTACCCATACACCACATGAAACCCAAGCATACTGACCATCAGCTTGGTGAATGTTCCTCTGTTCATAATATTAAAAAAAAAAAAAAAAAAATAAAGCTTTTTTTCCATTTCAATGTAGCTACCCAAGAGCTAATACCAGTACTGTTTTAGACTAAATAATATATGTTACAAAATTAATCATACCCCTATCAATCAAGAAAAAAACGAACAAAAAAACACTAAACTTAAAAAAATTAAAAGCAGTGGGTACTATATTTGCATCCACGATGAAACAGCACATTATTTGTATCCAAAACCTAACCTAACCCACTGTTAAGAGTAGAAAAAGCAGGCAGCTGATACAGTACAGTCAACCCTCGCTTTATGCGCTTACACGGTACCCTGCCGAAACCGGAATGCTCAATTTCCGCGGTGCGTGTACCCCTTTACGCAGAGAGCGGCTGGCGAGCCGCGCCATTTTTGGATCCAAACCTCCCGCCCTCTCCCGCCATCCATCATGTTGTGTAAGCGGCGCGAGTAGGTTGCACAGTGTGTGTGTCTTTGTTGCGTTATCAGTGACGTCATATGACATATCGGACTGTAATTGGGCCATGCATCCTTACCTCCCTCCACTGCTAGCTGTGATTGGTTTAAAGTAATGTGACGTGTCCACCCGCGGGAAGGAGGGAGGGAGGAAAGACGACGCTTGACCTAGCCGCGGCAGTTTCATCCCTCCAGGCCACACCGTGTATACGCGAATCCATTGTTCTGTAAAATGGCTTCTGCCGGACCACCGCCCCCAGAGAGAAACCTTTCCTTACCTGGACCCAGCCGCCCTAAGCCAAAGAAGACACGACGTTCCATAAGCTACGAAACTAAGTATAAGATCATACAAGAGTTGGAGAAGGGAACAAGACAGGTTGATCTCGCGCGCCAGCATGGTGTTAACGAGTCTACGATCAGGACAATTAAGAAGGATGCAGCCAAGATAAAGGAGCACACGAACATCACAAAGTCTACAGGTGCTTCTATGATCAAGTATTGCCACAACCAGGTGCTTCTCAAGACAGAAAAATTACTTGTGAGCTACTTGGTGCGTCAGGCGCGACGGAACATGGCGGTGGACACGCGCTCAGTTAAGGAGTACGCACCTGAACTGTATGCTGCAGTGTCACGAAAGATGGGAATTACAGAGCCCAAACCCTTTAAGGCTTCCTCTGGGTGGTTACAGAGGTTTAAGAAGAGAAACAAGATCACCAATATCAACATTGGTGGTGAAGAAGCTAGTGCTGACCGTGTTGCAGCTAGGGAATTTCCTCCGTTTTTGCGTGAGATTATGGAGGAAGGGCAGTACACCGACGACCAGGTGTTTAACATGGACGAATCTGGTCTTTTTTAGAAAAAACTACCTTCCAAGACCTTCGTTGTGAAGAATGCCAGCAAGTGTCGGGGCCGGAAGTTGCAGAAGGAGCGCATCACCGTCCTGTTTACCACCAATGCCTCCGGTACCTGTAAGCTCAAGTTATCGGTGATCCACACAGCACGCAAGCCGCACACCTACAAGAGCATGGACATGTCCAAGCTAAATGTCCACTGGCTGACCACACGTAAGGAATGGATGTTCTCTACACTGTCCCTCTCCTGGTTTGATGACTGTTTCGTTCCCAATGTGAAGAAATTCTGTGAGCAACAGAATGTGCCATTCAAGATTTTGTTGCTGCTGGACAACGCACCAGGACACTCGCCCCTACTGTTAGATCGTCACCCCAACGTAAAAGTGGTCTTCCTTCCTCCCAACACTACGTCTATATTACAGCCCATGGACCAGGAGTTAATCTGTAATGTAAAAGCTGCATTCTCTACTAAAAAATTCAAGCTCCTGAACGACTACACCAACACCAAGGAAGAGTTGCGTAACCTGAGTGACACCAACACCGATAGCAAGAGCGAAGACGACGAGGATCAACAGTTGGCAGAGCAAGAAGTACTTGTGAAACAGTTTTGGAGAAAATTCAACGTCAAGAAAGCTGTGGACTTCTTGGTGGAGGCATGGGATCAGCTGTCTGTAGCAACTGTTCGTCACGCATGGAGACGTGTTGCAAGGCATTCCGGCCGTTAGGCAGAGTAAATCTGTGACTGGTGAGGTTCAGACTGTTGCAGTAGCAGTGGACCTTGCCAGAGAAGCTGCGCAGAGTGTTACAGCTGCAGGCTTCTCCGAGACCACCAACGACGACATCCTGGAGGTGATAAGGGATCCTGATGTGACTACCGACGACATGGTAGATGATGATGACGTCAGTGAAGAGGCAGGTGGTGCGTCATCCCAAGAAGAACGCCGCTTATCCCATAGTAATGTTAGGGGTGCCATCGAGTGTATCGAGAAAGCCAAGCTCCTCCATTCCGACGACCCTGATGCAAACAGGTATGAAATCTTCACTACCCAGCTGTTGAAGACTATGGAGCCCTACATCAAGGTTTATCACGACAACATAAACACCAGCCGTCAGCAAAGCATAACAGAGTTCTTCGCCTGCAACCCACCACAGCCAGCCCAAGCCAGTGATAGTGACAGAGGTAGAGACAGTGATGATGACTTTGAGGGATTTGTCAGGGAGGCACTAGTAAGTGTGGATGACACCGATGAAGACTCACCTGAGGGCCAGTAGCCTGCCCTCTGCCTCGGAACCAGCCTCCATTCCCCTACGCCGACCCATCTCTTCTACTAACGTAAGTGTTAACCCCAGCCTTGTTTTTTTCTAACCTAACCTTCAGTTTATTCTTCTTTTATTGACTGTTCCTTTCTATATTATGTGTGGGTGAATACCATCATAAAGTTAGGAGGTTTATTTTTAGTAAAACGTACGTATTGTGTCGGGAAAAAGTGGAGTTTGGGGGTCGGCCCGGTCTCTATTTCAATTAATCCCATATGTTATGTTGTTCACTTTACGCGTTTCTCACTTTACGCGGGCCGCCGTGGGTTGAATTAACCGCGTAAAGTGAGGGTTCACTGTAATTATTTATACTGTATACCCAAATATAAACTACCTGTACCATATTACTCAGTTAAACTATCCAGAAATCAGTGTCAAATAACACAAATAGTATACGTTCACAGTTGGCTGCAAATATCATGTACGATACAGTATCTACACTCATGGGTGCAAATAACCACTCCACAAAAACTGAAGGAAAGACGGATGGATGGATGGATGGAGGGGTCGTGTGCAAGATCCATTTGTTTCAATGGGAGGACCCAAAAAATCCTTAATAGGTAGTTTTTGAGTGACATTATCCATGTTTCCAGAACTAGACCATACACTAGTAATACTGTCAGCCATTCAGGTTATGAAGCCTGCAGGTGGTGAGCTAATTGTTCATGCTGGGTGTCTCAACAGAGAGAATGTGACATCTTCCCAAACAATCAAAACTCTGAGGGCAGTCACTCAACATACTACAAAATACCTTCACATCAATGGACATGTTTAAGGTTTTTTCTTTCAACAGCGAATCTATTTTTACTTCTACAGACACCCTCACCAGCATGGGATTTTTCATTGTACCCAACTGATCTTCTGCCCCCAAAGGGCTGTAATAAGTAACAAAAACGGAGAAAATTCACCTTTGTTTAGGTTATATGAAAGATATGTGCAATAAATAATAAACTGTATACATAAAATGATGGGTTTATATTCCTCACAGTACAGTATAATATAATTATTTGATTAATTTTCTTTAAAACAATTAATATACGACAATTATTACAGCACTGAGAATAATTTCCAATATCTGGAAAATATAAATAAAATTCCAAAACCATCTCCATTCCGTGTACATTATTCGAAGTATTTCCGAGTGATTGCATCATGCGCCGAGCGTGTGGGTGGGCTAATTGCATGGAGAACTTAGGTTGTAGGATCAGAGTGCTTGAGTTGTGATTGGCTACAGCTGTCATGTGACTACATGGGACACCTATGATTAGCTGATTTATCTTGCAGTCTATCTCCAAAAACTTAAGTATCAGGGCACACACTTTGCCTTCTGCCATTGTCAAGTTTCATTGCTCACTCGCTGCTGTTTTCACATATGATCTGTGTTGTGCAGTACTGTACCAGGATGCACCCAGCCAAGAATACCATTAAAGCAGTGTTAAGATGTGAAAAGTAATTACTGTACAATTATGTATACAATAAGTGTAAAAGTACCATAAGTACAGTACATAGAGTGAACAGTGTATGCCTACTGTAGCTAGTGTGTAGAGGGTGTATGTACAATATACAGCATGTGTACAATCCCTCTTTCATGGAGGGAAAGGAGAGTGACAGTTAAACACCAGCTACAGTAGATGGTAGAGGGCAAAGGTAGTCCACCCTGTATCATCATAATACCATTTGGCCTGCCTGTACCACAGGCTCAAGATGACAGTATCTGCTGGCGAGTACAGTATTGTATACGTGGTGTATAGAGTAGTCTATTTTGTTGATTTAATATACTGTACCTGTACAATAGTGTTTGCATACATAAATACACTTCTGTGGCTGTATAACTGCAGTTATGCCTCCCTAGCAATAGTGTCACAGTTTAAACTTGGAAACATTCAATGCCCAGAAAAATTCCATAAAAGTGCGATTTCTTCCGGGGTTGAGGATTCGTCTCAATACCCAAAAAGCTATTGAACACGGAAACATTCTGCACCAATTTCTCCTCGTTTGTATGGTAACACTTAAAGACAAGAGTCCAAGTTAACAAAATAAAAATATCGAAAGAAGAAAGATGATACAGTACTGTACAGGTACTCTGAGAAAATGACAAAAAGTGCACATATTATCACTTACGATTTTTCCATCTTGGGTCGGCTGAGGAGACGCCATTGATGCCAGTCTGTAACCATGTTGGAATGTAGCAGTATCTGCTACTTTGGGAATTTTAGCAGTTTAGTGCAAATGGAACAGTTTCTTCAAAGGTTTTTTTAAAAATTTTAAGATTAGAATGGAAGATAATTGATGTTTTAAGTTAGGTTACTTTTGGTAGGTTATTTGATCAATTATAATTAATCACTCAAATAATTATTTGAGTGAAAAATTATAGCATGTAGCCATACTGTATCTGCTCCTTGTAGAGCTAACCACCAACATAATATTATGAAAGTACTGTACCAGATATTGAAACATTCTACAAAACCTTACTTAAATTAACCTAAAACCCAATACGGTGCTGTACTGTGGTTATCTTGGATTTCATTCTTTAAAAACATAATTTCTTCAAACAGAAACAAATACAGTACAGTACGACAGACACGAGAAACATGTCAGCATCATCTCCTAGACGTACAGATGTAAAAGTTATATTATGCAAGTGTTATCCTCATGCACTTACATCATTTTCTTGCTCAAGATAAGAAAACTTTTAACTTTTATGGAGAAATTTGCTCAAGTTGGTAATAAAGGAATGCCAGTCATCGAGTACGGTATTACCACTTAAACTTCTTTCTTACCTCAGGATCAAGCCAAATCTGGTGCTGAATAACAAACCGTAATTCTATTTTTCACCCTAGTTTTTCCTGTAAATAAAAATGCTCTGTATCCATGGTCTTCATGATACTCTGTTTGGGCAGCCTCCTATTGGTGACAAACACTTCTCAGTGACTAAATGACTGAAAATGCTAACACTTCCCAGCCAGCAACTGACCTTCCTTTCCATACGAACCTGCTTGACCAAATGTACCTGAGCTATTAATATTTATATACTGTACTTACATTCTAGGATAGGTAAGTTAAGATAGGTTTGGATGTTATTATGAGCCACTTTAGCAAAATAAATTTAAGAAAACTTGTTTCTTATCTTTCGAATACCTGTATCAATGAAAGTCTAAAGGAACTGCAAATTTCCTACATTTGTTTTTTCTACAGTATTCTCATGAGGAAATTTAGCAGAGATGTCATCACCAACACTATGTTTAGGATTATTGTTAACGTGCTCACTATCCTACCTAACCTAACCTAGCTTAAAATAATGCACTTCCACCCCAAGATAGGTACCAGTTCCATAGCCCAGGTATGGTTGGTTCTTTTGCCTTATTCATGATGTACAGTATAGTAGATGTTAGGTGGTCGCTGGTAAGTATTTGCAGGTTATGAAACACCATCCGGGACAAAATCATCAAAATGATAATACAAATATTGACAGAAAATCTCTTTATTTAATGGTATTCATTAGTCTAAGAAACAATTTAAAATCATCATATAAAAATGTTGCTACTGCCAGTTTTTCATGTGTATGAAACAGAAGCATTTAATGTCTTTGAGATGTTTGCCCTTTAGTGTCTGTGAACAGCTGACTGAGGTGGTCAATGTTTGCCTTTATAACAAAACAGCCAAGAAAACAAAAGTAAGAAAGTTGCAATTCCTACAAACTTTTATTGATATTAAAAAGGTCATTAACAAGTCTTCTATAGTTTTTCCTAAAGTGGCTCATCATGTAATGTAAACTATTACTGTACAGTACAAGGTTTTGCCGATTAAAATCATGGTAATTAACCCACAAACAATAGCAAATGATATAGGCTCATAAGCCAGTGTCACATTATAACGCAGTAATAATATTCCTTAAAAATGTTCGTGTGAATGGAAATGACAACATCGCTACTGCAGGGAAGCCGCCCCACGCCAAACTAAAGGTAATGTTACAAAAATAGCAAATTCCTTTTACAGCTCGTCCTTCTTTGGGATGTTATTATTTTTAGTAATATAATTCAGAATAATTCATCACCATAATCACCGAAAAAAAAATTGTCTAAAGTTGTTGCTGCAGTTTCTTAGTATTATATGTAGTATGGTTATCAATGTTCAGACTCCTGCTACTGTAATCAGCTGCCTGAGCGGAGTCTTTATATACATTTACCAAAAAATAAAAAAAATATTGTAAACAGCTTTGTTCTTATTGAAAGCTTATGACAATACATTCCTTAGTAGATTACACAATGAACACACACACATAGTATCATGTATACTCACAGTAACCAGCCTACTTGGGTAACACCTGAGGGCTACACCGTCAAACAACTGGGACAGACACAGAACCTTAGTCCAGGCCAAGTAAAATGGGTGGACTCTGCACGGCGGCGCCTTCACCCATAACAAACATAAATAAGCAAGTATTTAGTGTTAAATGAGCAGTCTAACTACACCTTCCTTCCAACTACCAGGATTGTCATCTCACCTTCTGTGGGGGTTCTTCGACCACGGGAGCGGTCTCAGAGCTCTCTTCCAGCTTCTTGACGGGTTCTGTCTTCACTTTGAGCCCCTGTTGATGTTCTAATTTCTTTTCTGTCTCTTCGAGTCGACGGGCGATCTCACCAGTGGTGGTATACTTCTTCCCCTTCACCTTCTTCTTGTCCTTTTTCGCAAAGAAACTATCCAGGTCAGCCATAGTGATCAGCTTTACGGAGGGCGGGATCTGCCTACACCAGACCGGCGCTCAGAGCTCACCAACTCCTAGCAGGACTCGGAAACAGGACCAGATGGAAATAAGAAATCACATGTACCTAAACATCACCAGAGTGAAGGCAATCAGAAGGAAGTACTATCATCGAGAGTATTTGGAAACCTTTTGTATCATTCAAGTTGTCATCTATATAAGGTATTCGGATACCTCATCGGGTACCAAGAAGGTATATTCGCTCATTTTCGATCCTATTATGGCTAGATTTCGTTTATCTATAGTTCAATGGCAACAGGGAAAACGAATTCCCATTTGCCGGGTATATGCAGAAATAGTGCTTTTAAAACTAATAATTATAGTTATAAATCAAATTCGCAAAGGAATTATAATTAATTTGTTTCATATGAGCTATATAAATTGCGGTAACCAAGATATGAGCTGACGTAAAGCTAAGATTTTAATTCCTTTTAGTTGGTAACAGTAATGAACACTGACATGTATTTATTCTTTCCAATAGCGTGTGTCATAGTGTGTGACGGGAGTTTAATGAAATGTCAAGTGATCTTCAACTCTTAAAAATTTTATATAATGTGTGTGATGAGGATATAAGCCCCCCTCCCCCCCACACAAAAACCCCCACCCACCCCTCCAAATCCACACCCACAAACCCAACCCTCCACACCCACTCACACACACACCTACCCCTCCACACCCACCAACAAACACACCTAGCCCCCACCCCCACAACAATATCTTTTTTCTTTTTTTCTTTTATCCTCTTCACCACTGATCGGCTCGTTAGCCGCTTGGGCGATCGGTCACGTTTCTGTCACTCACTGTTGGCAAGTACTGGGCATGTACCGGCTCCTGAATGTACCTGAACCCGCTCCAGTGTTGGTCAAGTCTGGTCTTGAAAGAGCTCACACTCGGTGCCGTCACAACACTCTCTGGCAGATGGTTCCAAGAGTTCACAACTCTCACACCGAAAAAGTTTGCCCTCACAGTTTTCTGGACTTGCGGCTTCTTCAATCTTGAGCTGTGACCCCTTGTGGGGCGAGCGTCCGCCAGCTCCAAGTAAGGACACTCGACTGAGTAGTGGCCCCCGAGATGCTTATACACCTCAACTAGGTCCCCCCTTGCCCGCCTGTAGTATAAGCTAGGCAAGTTCAGGCGCTCCAATCTCTCAGGGTAGCTGAGGCGCCTAAGTGCATACCTAACCCCATCAACTATGTACCGTCCCTCGTAATGATTTTCAAGAGTGAGGTACTTTCCTGTTTGGAGTAGTACCACCCCGTCTGGTCCTTGAGATATACTAGAGACTGGCAGTTGACTGAAAATGTCCAAGGAGGGCCACCAGACTGGTGCCTAAGGTACCCCAGTTACATTGAGAGACCAGAACACCTGCAATTACTTTTGGCTGATATTTTCAACCTCTCCACCACTGATCAGCTCGTTAGCCGTTTGGGCGGTCGGTCACGTATTTTAAACACTGTTGGCAAGTACTGGGCATGTACTGGCTCCAGAATTGCCTAGGTCATACTATAGACGGGAAAGAGATGACAACTTAACTAATGTTTGTAAACATATTAGAGGGCACAACTCAATCGATTATTTATACCTGGAGCTGGCAGACGCCTGCCCCTCAAGGGGTCACAGCTCAAGGATGAAGAAGACTGTGAGGGCAAACGTTTTCTGAGTGAGAATTGAAAATTCTTGGAACAATCTGCCAGAAAATTTTGTGACGTCACCGAGTGTGAGCTCATTCAAGACCAGACTTGACCAACACTGGTACAGGTACGGATACATTCTGGAGCCAGTACAAACCCAGTACTGTTCTTACCATGGCGAAGAGGATAATATATATATATATATATATATATATATATATATATATATATATGTGTGTGTGTGTGTGTGTGTGTGTGTGTGTGTGTGTGGGTAGTCCTAGGCATGTCTGTATAAATTATGAATATGGTAAGTGAAGGGTGTTTTTTGTGGGCTAAATGTGTTGCATAACTTGCATCTGATTATATTTTCTGAATCCGGGTTGTCAAAGGCAGGCTAGTATATGGACTGGCTCACGTACATGAAGACACATCCTGAAAAAAGCTTCATCTGCACCTTAGTGGCCGACTGCTCTCACTGGATCAAGAACTGTCTTCGTTGAACAATGTAACTCATGCGGGGCCATAATGATAATTAAATTAATTTGCTCTTTTTAAGAAAGCTACATTTGATTAATTGTATAGCATTACGGGAGGATAATATATAAGTTACTGAAGACTCAAACCAGACCAAAAACTGTGCCATTGGCATAAGTTGTATTCGATGTGACACTCGTATTAGAATTAAGATTGTTACCCCTCTGCCACTTGGTATATTTTCTATGACAGGTCATTCCAATTTCAAGGAGTAACGGGCCAAATGTGCCTCGGCCCTGCTTGGCCGGTATTACCATATCTAAGTTATGTCTCTGTTCACCGTGCTTGTGTCCTCTTTAAGATATTTATGTTAGCAGAGAGGTGGGGTGGCATATTCAGAACCTCTGTACAAATATTCTTAAACTGCATCTTATCGTGTGTTATCCTACTCTCAGCTCCCTCCGCCTGGCTCTCACTTTTACACTTTTATCCTCTTCATCACTGATCGGCTTGTTAGCCGCTTGGGTGATCGGTCACGTCTCTGTTACGCACTGTTGGCAAGTACTGGGCATGTACCGGCTGCTGAATGTACCTGAACCTGCTCCAGTGTTGGTCAAGTCTTGTCTTGAAAGAGCTCACACTCGGTGCCGTCACAATACTTTCTGGCAGATTGTTCCAAGAGTTCACAACTCTCACTCCGAAAAAGTTTGCCCTCACACTTTTCTGGACTTGCGGCTTCTTCAATCTTGGGCTGTGACCCCTTGTGGGGCGAGCGTCCGCCAGCTCCAAGTAAGGACACTCGACTGAGTAGTGCCCCTTGAGATGCTTATACACCTCAATTCGGTCACCCCTTTCCCGTCTGTAGTATAAGCTAGGTAAGTTCATGCGCTCCAATCTCTCAGGGTAGCTGAGGTGCCGAAGTGCAGGCACCAGTCTGGTGGCCCTCCTCTGAACATTTTCAACCAATTGACAGTCTCTAGCATATGTCGGGGACCAGACGGGGTGACAGTACTCCAGATGGGGAAGCACTTCACTCTTGAAGATCGTTACGAGGGACGGACTGTCTAGATATCTGAACGACCTTCTTATAAAACCCAATAATTTATTTGCCTGATTTACCTTCTTCTCGCAATGGCCCGATAACTTCAGCCTATTGTCAACATACACACCTAGGTCCGTCTCACATTCAGTCTCAAATAGTGCAGTTTCTTCATCCCGTTGGGACATATGATACGCCTCCTTACCGTTGGTACCCCCCAGGTGCATCTTCTTACACTTCGTGACATTGAATCTCTGCAGCCATTCCTTCGACCATTCCTGGAGCCCACAGAGGTCCATCTGCAGCTCTTCACTGTCCGCTTGGTTCTTGATTTCCCGAAATAACTTGGCGTCATCGGCAAACATTTGTATTGAGGAGTGTATAACGTCAGGCATGTCATTTATGAAACAAACAAACAACAGCGGGCCCAATACACTGCCCTGTGGTACCCCGCTTGTGACAGGTACGGATGATAATTTCGTACCATTAATCACCACACACTGCTTGCGGTCATGTAGAAAGTCTTCTATCCACGCTAGGACATTTCCCGAATTCAGTACCCTTCCAGTTTCATTTTCAGCTTTTCTTGGGGTACACTGTCGAAAGCCTAGGCAAAATCTAGGTAAATATTGTCGATATTACCACCCCGTTCCAGAATATGGGTCCAAATATCTAATACCTTGAGCAATTGTGTTAAGCAGGAGCGCCCCAGCATAAAAACGTGTTGGTAATCCTTCACAAGGTTGTTTCGTAGTAGATGTTCCATCGCGGCATCTCTGATAATACTCTCAAGTTCTTTACATATTACACTGGTCAGGCTCACCGGTCTATAGTTGTTCGTGGAGTGACGATCGCCCTTCTTGAAGATAGGACTCACATAAGCCACTTTCCATTCACTGGGGACCATTTGTTCATCCAGGCATTTACAAAACAGGATCTTCAGGGGCTCGGCAAGCTCGTTGCACAACTCTCTTAGCACTCTAGGATGCACCATGTCAGGGCCGGGACTCTTATGGACCTTTAGCTTTGACAGTTTATTTCTAATACCCTCTTCTGTGAACACAATGTGGGTCAGTGCTGTGTCGAACCGTCAGTCCTCAAACGCAGGAAGGTTAATCGCATCCTCTCTTGTGAACAGAGAGGAAAAGAAGCTGTTCAATGCCTCAGGTTTATCCTGGTCAGAATCTGCGTAACTACCATCTTCAAGCCTCAGATATGATACTCCTACTCGCGTTTTTAATTTCGACTTTGCATAGCGGTAAAACGCCTTTGGGTTTGACTTGACCTCGCTTGCAACCAGCCTCTGGAACTCCTTTTCAGCCCTTCTACATTCTATCTTTGCTTGGTTTCTGGCTCTTGCATACATTCTCCTGTCCTGCTCATCATTTGACCCAACCCACGTCTTGAAATTCTGGGTTTTCTTCTTAATTTTGTCGACCGCCGCGTGGTTCATGTGTAGGGATCCCCTCGTATTCCTAGAGGCACTGGGTTTGGTCTTGGGTATATATTTATCGATCAAATGGGTCACTTTACTAGTTATGATATTCAGCGTAGAGTCTGCGTTCTTGTGCCTTAGTGAGTCAGGCCAGTGGATACCCCCTCATCTCTTCCCTCATCCCGTTGTAATTTCCCTTGTAATATTTGCACCTTGGCCTGGCTTATCTTGAACTAGGTAACAGTTAAATCTGAATGACAACACTATATGGTGACTGGTGCCAACTGGGGCAAGGTGTTCCAGTTTGGTCAACATAACCTCCTCGTTTGTTATGATGAGGTCTAGTGGCTTGGGTGTTTGCTCCCCACTGTAATGTGTCGGGTCTCTAACATGTTGGAACAGAAAATTCTCTCTCAGAGTTTCTACAAAAAGAGTAGCAGGGTTATTCAAGTCATTTGGGGTGAACTCGTTTCTCCAGTCGATGTCGCTAAAGTTAAAGTCACCCATGATAAGGAGATGGCTAGGG